TTGTATAGTTTGGTTTATGGTTGTTCAGTTCTTAATTCTGACATTTTATTATGTTAAAAATAGTGGATGACTCACTACTTCAGACATGTTTTTGCCTGTGATTTGTATGAAGCTGCCGTTGCATGGAAATAGGAATTTGATTATAAGTGCACAGAAGTAGTATTTAAAGCTTTTTTTTTATTAGTTAAAGCTAGATTAAGTAAATTAAATGTCCAGGGAAATAAGTTTTGGTGGGTTTTTTCTTTTTTTCTTTAAAACAAACAGGTTTATTGAAGTGTGAATTGTAGTTAGTGAAGTTAGAATTCAAGAGATATTTAGATGCCTAAAGATGCAGATAGGAACCTGTGACTCTTTCATAGATTTTAAGTGTTTTCCAGAATTCTATTGAAAGTTAGGCATTTAATCTGGCAGACTTCTTAATGGGATTTTTCAGAAGAACTTATTTCTTCTCCTAGTATCAAAATATCTAAAAAAGCAAAAAAAACCCCCAAACACGTCTATATATCTGTTTTGCCTTTCTTATAATTCGGAAAAAATCAAGCAAATTTTGTTTTGAATTAGTCCAGTTGAAGAGTATTATATCTATATATCTTACACCTTTCCCTACTAATTAAATTGGCAATAGTCAATATACTTATTCCATGTTATATATTGAAGTATAGTGTTAATACTTCCATGTATGTAGTGCAGTATATATCTCTGTTTATTGATCTTTGCCTGACCTCAGAAGATAAACAGATTCAAGGAAGGCAATTAATAGCCTGTCCCATAACTCATTAACATTTGATGACTAATTTTTGGAATGGTCTCATTCAGATTTGATGTTAAAATCACCTCATCAAAATTACTTGAGCTGAAAGGAATAATAAGTACTTAAAACCAAACCCTCTTACCAACCTGTTACTTAATGCTGCTCTCCAGCTTGATAGGGAGTTACTTTGGATCACCCAGTAGTAATTTGGTTTAGTTTGCAATCCAGTACTGCTGTGGCCTTCCAGCAGCTATACCAGTCCTGTTTTAGACAGCTGACTTCCCAGAAGTTACCCAGAACAAAATGGTCATTTCAGTGACATTGTTGAAGAGGAGAGTCTTATTCATAGAACTTGCATTCAAGGATTATTTTCATTCTATCAGAATTTCAGTTCAGGATATTAAGCTAACTTCAGCCATAGATCTTTTAATCTATAAGTCAGAAATGTTCATCGCTGTGTAGTTATGAGAACTACAGGAGACTTGTGCATCTGTAAACATCTTCTCAAGTTCATAGTTTTTCAGTTAGCTGAGATCTAAGAGCTGTATGCCAACCAAGCACAGTGCAGTGAGAGAGGTTAGGTTCGGACTGGGGAGAACTGAGCCTCTTACAGTTCTCCTTTGGCAAGTATGTGGCTTTGGATAAGCTGATTCTTACTTTGGTGCCTCAGTTTTTCAGCCTTTAAAGTGAGAATATCTCCTTCAAAATTGTCTTGAACTCTTCAGAGAGGTGCAAGAGAGGTAGGTAGTATTGGAGGACTTTCCAGGCACAAAATTATGTTCCTACACCACTTATCCTAATGTTTTGAACAGATTTGCTTCTCTTGGGGAAGTGACAGTATAAATGATGGTAATTTTGGACCAGAAATTCAGAGATCCTTGATATATCTATTGTTCTCCTGAGGAGTATTTAGTATGGTTCCATTACAAGGGAATGGGATGCGACTCCTGACTTTGTGACAGATACAAAATTTTGTTCTTTAGCAAATGGTTATCACTGGCAGCAAAACACAGTATGGATGTGGAAAACAGGAATCATGTACGTCGCATGCTCCTACCATGTGCGCCTCTCTGGAGCGCATCATGGAAATGAGATGGTTTCAGATCAGCTGTAAACCAAGGACTCCAGCTTTGTAAATTTACAGTTCAGAGGTGGTTCACATCACATAAATGTTCTGCAACAAGACTCCTGTCATCTCCTCAATCTTTTCTGCTATTGAAGGTCATACTCAAATGTTCCAGCTATTTATAGTAATTAATTTCACAGTTTCAACTTGTCTTCTGTCGAACAGGTCTGCTTTTTCAGTTACCGACTGTCAGCCGCATGCTGCCAAAAATGTCTTTGATCTTACTAGCAGGTACATATCAATTTCTCCATGGCATCCTTGACTGGTTCTGTTACCTAATGTCTAAAACAGTGCATGTTAGTTTTACTCTTTTTTTTCCTGTTTCTGAAGATTTATATTCTTTAAAATTACACCAGAATAGGAAGTTACGATATCGGTGACTTCTTTTGCTAAAGCTTAGTACTACTGATGCTCTGCCTGAACAGAGCTTAATCCACTGGCTTGTATTGTTCTTGAAACTTTACTCCTAAGCCAGGAAAAACAATGCTGTAGAGAGACCTGGGATACCACTAAAGCCACGAACTATTTATTTCTGCGGGCCTAACACACTTAGGAAGTCTGCATGTCTCTGTAGCCATTTAAAGTTCAGTGCAAAATCTGCCAATGGATTAGGTTGCATGTTAAGCTGTTATCAGATAACCAGGATAGTGGTCAGTGATGCAGAGATAGGATGCATACTAATTTGGTGAAAAGCAGCTGTGACTTGAAGCAGAAGGTCATTGCTTTAGATGAGCAATATCCTTGTATATCCTTGATATACTTGTCGTTTAGCCGCTTCAGCGGTTAACTGCACCTGAAACTTGAAGGTCTGAAGTCAAGAATTCTGCTATAACAACAGATATTAGCATATAGTAGGCTGTCCTTCTTTCTCCTCCAAATATTAACACCTTTTCTGTTTTTCTTAATTAACTGGCTTCACCTGAAGTAACAGTGAACATTGGGTTTGACTATTTTGACTGTTTTCCAGTTAAACAACTAGTGAAAACTAAGAGCTTGAGATTCCTGTTTGTGTATATTCACTGAAAAGGATCAGTGACACTAAATTAGTAGTAATTAAAGTGGCATTAATTAAGCATATCTGTTTCAAGTGAGTGAATGTTAAAAAACAGCTGTCTTTGAATTGTATTACAGGCAGGGCTCTGTTGAAATAGCAGATCTTTGATATGTCTGGAAGGTATTTCTACAGCCTTCATCTTACACTAATTGTGTATTTTTGTATGGAATTTAAAGTATGTCATTTCAAGTAAGGTATTTCTGCATTCACTGTTCATAATGAACTATAATGATACTGATGTCTTAGACATTAGACAAACAAGTCCCTGGTTATTCCTCGATTTTTGGAATGCGAAAGAACAGTGCAAGGTTAAATAAACCTGGAAGTATTTGATAGGTGTGGTACTCTAGTGTCCTTTATGATGATGATTTTGTTGTCACAACTATCCCATTCTTAATTACGTTTCTGTGTCCACGTGGAAGATAGATAAAACCTGACCCCGTTTTTAAGAGGAGGAGAAATGTCCAAACAGGAAAACAGACTTCGGTAGCCTGTGGCCATTGCTTTATAACCACTCCCAAGAGTTTTAACCCCTGCCATTCCAGCATCCCTTTGCTCCTATTATCTCCTTATTTTTCTTTTCTCTGGTCTGCAGCAGTCATGCTTACCTGGCTGTATGGAAATGACTCAGAAGGAAAAAAATGGAATGTGAAATGTTAATAGGTGAAGCCCTTCTGCACAGAGAAGATGAATTAAATAAGCATTGGGAATATAGGTTGTTAGGTCTTTTTAATCCTTAGGTCCGGTTCTGCTTGTTCTCTAGTAGAATACCAAAGGTGAAGTAAACAGGTTGATGATGATGTTGAGAGTTTAGTTGGAAAATGATGGAATGTTGAAGAAACTGCATTTATATTTTGAGTGGCCTGGTATTGATAAGCTTTAAGTAGACAAAAACACAGAAGCCGAAAAAGTAGCTGTTTAATATGGAAATGAAAAAAATGTGGATATCTTACCAATGGTTGAAGGAAATGCACAGGCGTACTCGGTGGGAAAACTGGGTAATTTTTGGAAGAGGAATAAAGTCTTACTGAACCTCGTTTTAACTCTCCAGCCGTAGAAGCTTGTTGACGAAATAAATTATCTTAATTCATCAGTCTATGTCTTGATGAGAATTAATGTACAAACTCTTCTGCTTTTCCTTTCTCTTTGATACTTCTGTTGTAGAGAAAAAAAATTAAACAAGAGTTTTAGTGTAAGTAGTTAAGTTCTAATTTAGAAAGAAGTTTGTTAGACAATTACCTTTAAGGGGTAACTATGAAAGGTTTTTGAAAAAGTGCTAATGCGTAAATTAATTTTATTTTCCTGCTTTCAGTCACTCAAGTGCAGCCACTGATCACGAGATGTTACCACGAAATCTACCTCAGACTTCGCTTTTGTTCATTCATTTGCTGCATCATAGATCTCAACAGGAGCTCTGCAGGCACTCTTGAAAGTCTCTAAACAGATTGTGGCAAGTCGAAGTGTGATGACCTAATAGGAGGTCAAAGTCTGAAACACTGATTCAGCAGTCCAAGATAACACTGCCTTTTTTTTATCAGTATCACTTCTGAAGGCTACAGACCTCCTGCGTTTCTTCCCTGGTTACTTCAGAAGCATTCAGCTGACGTTTCTCTGGTGAAAAGATCTTGACTTTTCTCTCTGGTCCTGGAAATATTAATGGAATACAGTCATGTCTACCCAGGACGAGAGGCAGATAAATACAGAGTACGCTGTATCCTTGCTGGAGCAGTTAAAATTCTTTTATGAACAGCAGGTGCTAACTGACATAGTGTTGATTGTTGAGGGCACTGAATTTCCCTGCCATAAGATGGTTCTTGCAACATGCAGCTCGTATTTCAGGTAAGTATTCAAACTAGGATCTGTTAATTCTAGCAAATCTGTGATACCTGTTTTTGAGTGTAATATTACTTAATTGATTAATAATTAATGTGTGGCAGAGAGTTTTAAAGATCAGTGAAGTAAGTAAAAAAACCTGAATATCATTACTTGCCAACACCAAAAGAGTAAAATAAATTTTCTAGCATCTTGTGACTTACTCTGGATAGGTAGTCGTTTTTACAGTAAGTGGAAAAAAAAACAAACCAAAGCCCACCACACTTGTGATGGTTTGTTTTCTTTAGGGAGTTAATCCAGTCTGAATAATTAGTAGATTTCTTATTCTTCATACTTAATCTTTAAATATTTAATCTTCTTTTATTTCCCAAGGTAGGGTAACAAGGGATTACTGAGATTTGGCTATGGGAGTTCCATTGTCATGTTTATTAGCTGTAGTTTCTTAGCAGAGGTAGGGATTGCTGTGCAAGTTCATGGCTTTTCTGAATCATCAGGTTTTCTCTGCTCAGCAGAGCAGCCAGAAACTCTTTTCTTGCCTGAGAGCCTTGCTGCAATGCAACAGGGTTTTTTGTGGGTGGGTGTTTTTGTTCACCACCTGTCCCCAAGATGCTGTTGCAGTTTTTAATTCAGTAGCTCCTGCTTCCCAGGTGTCCTGTTTTTTGTCTTTTGAAAAGTTTTTATTAATAAGGTATGTCGAGTGTTACTACTCTTTGCAGATACCTTCATGGTAAGTCCTAGAAGATGAAGTACCATGAATTTTCTTTAGTGATTAATCATTTTTTGTTGGTAACACAGTATAATTAATCTGCCTGTCTGGAAGGAATTTTAAAGCTTGAAACTAGTCTTGGTGACATCCATGCATGTTTCACCTTCCTGATGCATTGTGGAGGGATTATAACTTTTCTTTCCTGTTTAATCAAGGGAAGGTTTGCAAATTCTGTTTTCTTGTTGAGATGGGCTCACTATACAGAACATGTCTAAAACGTTTTCTGTATTTTGTCTGCTTTCTTGTATAGAACTATTCGAGGATTAATTTATTACTTCCACTGAATTTTTTGTTGGTGCTGGTTTTTGTATTAATTTTTTCATCTCAGATGAGTCTGGTACAATTTTTAGCAACAAGTATTGTGTGATCACTAGATAATGATTATTGTTGTTGGCCTTCTGCAGATGACATAGTTCCAACAGTCTGTAAAATAACAGCCACTGGAAATGTAGCCAGATTTAATGTGGGTGGCTAATGATAAAGTTGGAAAGCTGTCACGAGTCCACGCAGTGTGCTGCATTAGAATATGCAGTCAGATCTCTTATTCATATGTGTTTGTTTATTATTTATGGAATGAGGTTTTGGCACTGGTTAAAAGAAGTATCAAGCTTGTGGTTTTGTCGTGTTCTGTTTTTCTTCTCTACTTTCGTTTAGAAAAAGATGCTCAGCTTCCTAAATTTAGCTTTATTATGAAAAATTGATAGCCCTGAAGGAGGCTGTGGGGAGAGAGGGAAGAACAGAAAAGCATCTCTTAGTGTGATCCAGCCATTGTGTATGATTGCAGCCAGCTTACCTTCCATCTTTGTGCTCGAAGACTGTGCTGCAACAGCCCAGTTCCAGTGCAGGCCGCTCAGCAGTGTGTAAGCATGCACTAGAGCCAAATTCTCTAACAGCTACCTCTTCTTCTCTATGAAGAGGAGTCTTTGCTGGCACTTGTACTGTCTTTGTTTACCTTTAAAAAGCTGCATGGCAAGTTGATGCTCACTTGACTAGTCGGTGACCCCTCCTAAAATGCCAGTTGCCCTGAGTTAAGGAGCTTGGAAGACCGAGAGATGGGGATGGCGCAGGAGGGAATGGTGGTGGGGCACTGTCTTTGTATCAGACGCTTCTTGGAATGGCTTTGCTTAGGGAGTGTATCTCCATGTCGCCTTTACCTCTGCAGCTAGAGGCAGGACTATAGGGTGCACCCACTGTCCCTTCTAACTTCTCTCATATGTGGCTTCCTAAAAAGCCCCAAATAAATACAAAGAGCCTTGAGCTGAATTTTCAATACAACCATAAATATCAAACCTGAATTAATATAAAGCTCTTAAAATCAAGTGTCCCCCATTTTAAGAAAAATGACAAATACCTGGTTTACAGTACTAGAATCCAGTTAGTTCTTAACTATGTTGCAATTAAAAAAAAACAACAGAATGGGCAATAGGTATATAAAGCATTATGGAAACAATAGCCTTTTTTTTTAAATTGCATTCTGCTTTTTTCAGGAAGATGTAATGGAAATACTTGCACACACACACCCCTTCTTTTTTTCCCAGAGCAATCTGATAGTTTTTTGTGTCATTCATTTTTGTCTACAAACTTGGAAGTTTACTGTGTATTATTATGAATGGTATATAAGAAATAATTTGTGGAGTGCCAGTCTTTGCTCCATTTTCCCAACTAACTTTCTCCTCCTCACAGAGGAGCAGGCTTTTTGATATGACTTAGCTCACTCCATTGCATAAATCTGCTTCTTTTTGTTTGAGAAGCTAAAATCTAGCTGCATATGTTTCAACAGTATTTTCTGGAGGCTGTTTCTTCCCTCTTATTATCACCTACCATAGAAGTTTTAAATTTCATCACTAAAACTAAATAATCTTTAGAGTACTCTGCTGATTAACACAAAAGTGTTTGCATAAATATAAAATATTTCTACAGAAGGCAGTAATGGTACTTCTTGAATGTTCTGTACAAATGCTCTATCTTAAATACTAGATGGTAGCCTAAGGTAAATACTAAACACCTGTAAACAGGCAACCAAAAAGACTGTTCATCTTTTGGAGTGTAATCACTGAAGATTTACGGGTGACTATTTAAGATTACTGTACTTACTGTTGATCCTTGTCTTGATATGTATATTCCTCCTCAGAGCCATGTTCATGAGCGGGCTAAGTGAAAGTAAACAAACACATGTACACCTGAGGAATGTGGATGCAGCCACTTTACAAATTATCATAACTTACGCATACACGGGTAACTTGGCAATAAGCGACAGCACAGTAGAACAGCTTTATGAAACTGCCTGCTTCTTACAGGTAGGAATGTTTTATTTTGAGTATGAAATTGCTGCTTCTAATCTCTGAACCATTTTTTTCTTTATCCTGTTAAATAGTCTTCTGTTTAGTCATTTCAAAATACTCCAGTTTGCTCAGTACAGACAGCAGTTGCTTGCCAGATACATTTCATGTACCCTTCTGTCCTTGCTTTATGGTCCCTGTGGAAGGTGGAAGTAAAACAGTGCACCTCTAACATTTAGCAAATTAGTTTCTCCAGCAGACATAATTCTGTGATGTACTTGATCTGCATGAAGCAGTTGAGGAAGTCACTGCTGTAGTTTTGTGTGTCTATATTATTCCAGGCCTAAACTCTGTTGTTCAACAGTAAATGCAGGTATTTTTACCTGCTGCTGGTACATAAAGAAATAGATGGTATGCAGTAATACTTAGCATGTGTCTTCTTTGCATTACAGGTAGATGATGTGTTACAGCGGTGTAGAGAATACTTAATCAAAAAAATTAATGCAGAAAATTGTGTGCGTCTGTTAAGTTTTGCTGATCTCTTCAGCTGTGAAGAGTTAAAACAGAGTGCTAAAAGAATGGTGGAGCACAAGTTCACAGCTGTGTACCACCAGGAGGCTTTCATGCAACTGTCACACGATCTATTGATAGATATTTTAAGCAGTGACAATTTAAATGTGGAAAAGGAGGAGACAGTTCGTGAAGCTGCCATGTTATGGCTGGAGTACAACACAGAGTCACGATCGCAGTATCTGTCCTCTGTTCTTAGCCAAATCCGAATCGATGCACTTTCAGAAGTAACGCAGAGAGCCTGGTTTCAAGGCTTGCCACCTAATGATAAGTCAGTGGTGGTGCAAGGACTGTACAAATCAATGCCCAAGTTTTTCAAGCCCAGACTTGGTATGACAAAAGAGGAGATGATGATATTCATTGAAGCTGCTGCTGAAAACCCTGGTAGTCTTTATTCTTCTGTCTGCTATAGCCCCCAGGCAGAAAAAGTTTACAAACTCTGCAACCCTCCTGCTGACTTGCATAAGGTTGGGATGCTTGTCACTCCTGATAATGACATCTATATAGCAGGTGGGCAAGTTCCTCTGAAAAACACGAAAACCAATCACAGTAAAAGCAGCAAACTCCAGGCTGCCTTCAGAACTGTGAATTGCTTTTACTGGTTTGATGCACAGCAAAACACTTGGTTTCCAAAGACACCGATGCTCTTTGTTCGTATAAAGCCATCCCTGGTCTGCTGTGAAGGCTACATCTATGCAATTGGAGGAGACAGCGTTGGTGGAGAACTCAACAGGAGAACTGTGGAGAGATATGATACTGAGAAAGATGAGTGGACCATGGTAAGTCCGTTGCCTTGCGCATGGCAATGGAGCACAGCAGTAGCAGTTCACAACTGCATTTACGTAATGGCACACAACTTGATGTACTGTTATTTTCCCAGGTCAGATGCTTGGGTAGAAATGGCTATGCGACAAACAAGTAGATGTTTTGCTTCAGCTGCTGCTTTTGGTGATAAAATATTCTATATTGGAGGACTGCATATTGCCAGCAATTCTGGTATAAGGCTCCCAAGCAGTACTGTAGATGGGTCTTCCGTAACAGTGGAAATCTATGACGTGAATAAAAACGAATGGAGAATGGCAGCCAATATCCCTGCCAAGCGGTATTCTGACCCATGCGTTAGAGCTGTTGTCATCTCTAATTCTTTATGTGTCTTTATACGAGAAACCCACATGAACGAGAGGGCGAAGTATGCCACCTATCAATATGACCTGGAACTCGATCGCTGGTTTTTAAGGCAGCATATATCAGAACGTGTGCTGTGGGACTTGGGGAAAGACTTCCGGTGCACGGTAGGAAAGCTGTATCCGTCTTGCCTTGAAGAGTCCCCATGGAAACCTCCAACATATCTCTTCTCACCAGATGGAGCTGATGAATTTGAGCTGGATGGGGAGATGGTTACTTTACCACCTGTATAGCTCCCAAATTAGACTGCACGAGTGATTTTGTGCTCAGTTATCTTGAAATAAATGATTGTGAAAGAACAGGTCTGGAAACAGAAGTGTCAAACCTGTCTTTCATGAGTTGTATTTTTATGCCCTACCTAACACTTGCCGCCATTCAGTATGAATCAGTGAAATGAGCAGATAGGCTTCCATAACCTGAAATACTATTATATGATAATTGAGAAATGTAGATGTATATCATGAGCTTAAGCATCTGACTTGTCTAAAAAATTAATTTCTAGTTCTGTGAAGTCTCAGTTCAGGAAAATTAGCTTCAGAAAAAAGTAGTTACTGTTTCTAGGATGATGTGACAACTCTCTTGAAAATATCTTCCAGTTATATTTGAATTACTTCTGGATATTCTACTTAAGTGCTAGTTATATAATTGTCAGTGTGGCCTAATCAAAGGACTGCTGCACTTACTTAATACTAACATCCATGTTGGTATAGTAATGCCATTAAAAGAAAAACAAACAAATCCCATGGATCTACCTGTGGTAGGAAGGGTAGATCTTCCATTGTATGGTAACATGCAGGGCAAAATGACTGCAGGTTCAGTCACATGTATTATTAGGTGCATGTATTCTATTTTCACTAACTTATACCTGTCTATTTAGAATACAGGTCTTCCAAGCAGCTGGTAGTTTACCAGGTGTGGACTTAAGTTGCTGGGCTTGCAATAGGAACTGTCAGCCCTCATAGTGCGGGTCTATGTGGAGCTTTAATCAGTAAATGTCTCCACGGTCTGTATTACAGTAATGTTGGCTCATGTATATTACTTCCTGCTGCTGATGTATTTTTCCATTGTAAAACAAAGTTTTAGTGTGGATTAACCAGGTCTTTATTTTCTGTTAATTTAATAACAAGCATTACTGTAGTGTGATTGTGTATAGATACCCCTTAGCTATCAGGTTTTTTACTTTGGGGGGTGGGGGGAGAAGCAAACTGTTCAGGAATATCCTGTGCTGTGTGCAGGAGAGCAGATGACTAGTGCTGCTCTGGCATTAATCCCAGGAACCACTAGCAGTAGTGGGGCACCGCCAACCTGACATGAACACAGGTGCTTCATGACAAACCTTACTAGCATGTTCAGCTGCATCATGTTCTTGCACTGTATTTTGAATGACATTAATTTATTAAAAAAGACTGAATCCAACTGAGTTTGAGTGTGCTTTCTGGTTGAAGTCGATACAGTTACAACACCCTCCCACCGCAGGCACACTTCTAGCAAGTAGTTTGTTCGTGGCAACTGGAAATAGTTAAGCTGTGAAAAGCCTGGAGACAAGTACATTAGTTGACTGTGCTTACTGGTCAGTGAAAGCTGGAAATCAGGTATTCAGGTCAAACTGAGGATTATATAGAACTTGGATCCCCCACTATGATTTTTGTAAATTAGCACTTCTCCAGTCACAGGACAAATTCTGCTCTACTGAGAGTGAAGAACCATGGGCATTAAGGAGGTAATGAGGAATCTTTTCTATATGCTCAGAAGATGGGAAATGTATGTTCAGTCTTTAATAGCAAGAGCAAATTTATTATTTACTCTATTGTCCAGACTGCCCTGGCTTTCCCTTAATTCTCTTTCTTACTCTAGCAAATACAATTACAGCTTTCACCAAAGATGACACCTGTATAGTTTTGTGGCTAGGTCGCAAGTAGATTTACAAAGTTTTGTCATGTACAATTATTAAAGGTTTTGACTGGAAAAGGGACTTCAGCCAACAGACCTGCCTTATATAAAACTCTTCCTAATACTTTGGCATTTTGTACCATGGATGGATTTATGGGACCCAGAATAATGATGGTTCTAACAGAAGGAGGCAAGCTACTGATTTTTTTAAATGAAGGTGACATAACATGTTTGCATTTACCATTACATCAATTTATTTTTTTTTTAAAACACCTGAATTGCTTAGATAAGAGGGGAGAAGTGACTCAGGGGATCCTGCTGCTAGGTCTGTTTGTCTTGCTTTAGTGCATCAGGTAGCCTAGGACAGCCAGTTGCAAGCCATTCAAGGGAATATAGATTAAAAGAGTGATACTAGTTTATACTGCGATTTGGAGAATCACATACCTCAGGCATAACTCCAGCCTGAACAGAGTACTCAGTTCTGGGGGGTCATTCTCTCTTCAGCCTGCTCTATCAGGCTGCAGGACCAGCCTGTGTTCTTCCAGGATAGATGATCTATAGTTAGGGAAGGAACACAGTGGGTTTGCTCTGTTACTGAGAACTTCCAACTTAAGTTTAAAATCTTATGCATAGTTTCTTACCAGAGGAAGAAGGGGGCGGGGGGTAAATTTGACTAGGAAGTAGGTCACTAAATTGCAGTGGCTGTGAGTCATGTTGCCTCACAGAACCTGGAAGAACTGTCCTTGATTTTTTCCATTTAGGAACATCTTTTAAAATACAGATGGTCTACGTGACTTCCTGCTAGTCTGCATTTTTTTATATATTATTTTTATATTGTTTCTAGATATTATCTGCATATTTTTGTACTTTGTATGGTCTAAGATGATGTAGTACCTTATTTAAAATTAATTTACTATTAATAATACAGTACATAAGACTAGTGGTGTTGAACAGTTCTCTAGTGACTGCTAAAGACATACTTACCATTAGTTCACTTACTTATACAACTAGTGGCTGCAGTCAGTATTCAACTCCAGAAAAAAACACAGCTGGCAAATGCTATTCTCAAGTCTAAATTCTTTCCTTGCATAATTTGAGGAGGAAACTCAGCAGGCAAAGCATTGTCATGTGCCTGGAAATGGTCACTAGTGGCCAAATTAAAGAAAGACTTCTGTAGGAACAAAGACAACAGCTGAAAAAAAAGCAGTTCTCATTTCATAAATAGAGCAAATACAATCAAAGCCTTCACAGAGTTCTAAACTAGTATCTCACTACAAAGCTTCAGCCTAATACTAGCCTATTCAACCTGTACTTGGCTTTGAAGTACATTTATGTACAAGTTTCAATGAATCAACTTTGTATGTCCTCAAGCTTCACTGTATTTGCAAAAAGTTGGCTGCTTTTCTGGTAGAAAACTACTTGAAGTTAGTTCTACATACTTTCAATTGCCCCTACCTGAAGTAATAAAAAGAAGCCATCTGGCCTCTGCTAATTTTTAATGCATCCACTTATTTTTACAGTTGTTTAAATATATACCTAATGGCAGGTTTAATTTTTGTTCTAAGGGGACTAGTCAGATCTAGGGCAGTGAATTGTGTCAAGCTTTACAGAGAAGAGAATCAGATGGATAGTTAATTTCGGGGGAAAATTTGCTAAAATTCTGAAGATTATTTTTTTAAGATTTAAAGCACTGCCTGGTTTAAAACACTACATTTCACAACATTTCTAGTTTCACTCCTCAATGCTTCTGTTATGATGCACTAGCACCTGCCACACTGCAGTGCAGACCTGCACACCACTGAACATATTAGCAGGCTAGTGGTTTTCCGCCTCTGTTTCCCATTTACAGCTACCTTCAAATTGTTTTCTCCTTTTTGATCTGGATTCCTACACAAAAGGAGCTTTAATTTAGGCAGACTCTGAATTAGGCTTGCCCTTCCACTTCATGCTCAACATTAGCCAGACAAAAGTCTGTTTAGTTCCACTCCAGAATTCCTTAAAGTATGTCCCTCCTACAACATTTACCATGAGTACAATGCAGCCAGGCAGAGTTCTTACTCATAGAGCTTATAACCTGGAGGAGGAGTACTAGCAGACCAAGTAAAATGCAGTGATCACTCATGATGCCAGGAGGTAGTCAATATGAAATCTGTACATCTTCATATACCTCCCAAGTTCTGGTATGGAAGGGGTTGGTGAACAGCCTGAACCAGGAGGTGAGAGCAAGACCTGGGTCAGTACTGAGTTACAGAAACTTTGAGATGGAAGAAAGGAATAACAGAGAAGATGGAACAAGCATGAACGTGAAAGAGAGTGATAAAAGTACCTCTGTGTGTGCCTTTCTGCCCTCCTGCTCTAGAACACATAGCTCTTCTGTGGCTTGGTCTAACTCGTGAAACCAGCTACCTTTATTTCAGCAAAGAAAAGGGGTTCAAGCATTATATGTATACCATTACTGAAGTATGACTGGTCACCTGAGGCATTTCATGACTTCATCTCTTAAAATAGTAAACTGTACTGAATACATACATGCACTCTACTGCATTAATATGACCTAACAGCCAGTAAACAGGACAATAACAGGTACTAAAAAGGTAGTGATGTAACATAGACCTTACAGTCTATTCAGATTATGTGCTAAACATGAGGCTAAATCTTGATGCTGAGATTTTATTTAGAAAGTGCAAGAGGTATGGCTAGTTAATTGAACACGTTTTTATTGAAGAGAAGAAAATTAAGAAACAATTTCCACAATTTAAGAGCAGACATACTCTTCAGCCAGGTCTTTGTCACAGCATTACACATGTCAAAATACATATACACACAATTCATTTAGAGCAGCAAAGGTCAGTAATCACAGGTCATATTAGGCAATACATTAAGCTCAGCATTATTTTTTTGCCGCTTTCTGGTATGCCTGAACTTTTAAATTCTCCACTCTGTTTCTGTGTGCATTTCATAAGTTCTCTGAATTCAGAGGTGAGACACCAATTGAGTTGGCTTCTTCAGTATTTTCCAGCTGTTTCATATAGTATGCAAGTGATGTTATTCCCCATATTGTTTTTCAGACAACAAAATACCTCTGTATCTGCCTTCACTTTAGATAACTGTTCTTCATTCAGTCTAAACATTCTTATTTGATTTTCTTTATGCTCACCTGATCTAGAAAGCAGTGCTACTTTCTTGGTGATCTAGATTAAGACAAGAAAAGAATATTTTATAGATGTTCTCTGCTACTATTGAGGCAAATAGTAATTATGCTTTCATCAGTATTAGTAAATTCAGGCAGGGAAGTAACAACTTTCTGTCAGTTGATTTTGGAATAGTATTACATGAGGAGCAATGTATGATTAGGCAATTTTGAGCCTATATAGACTCAAGAAGACAGCTAGACTTCCAAGTTCCATCACAACTGAGATTAAGCCACCTGTGTACACACAGTATGCACATATGATGTCAGTTTACAGGAAATACAGTAATCTGAGTAAGGCTCACTATTTAACTGACAGAAGTGACCCATCTCCATATTTTTTTTTATGAATCCAAACACTACTTCTGATGTTTGATAAAGAATGGGGTCAAGACCTGAAACATCACAGAACTAAAGCTCTGTGCCTGCTTTTTTAAGTCAGTTTCTCCTCTACTATAGTATTAAAGACTCAAAACACCATGAAGCAACTTGTCATACCTTTTTAATCATAGTACAATAGCGTAGTGTTGCTGCCTTTAATGAGTACTCTGCATGTTGCCCTTTTTAATGAAAACTAAATACCTGCAAGAAAGTAAAATTACACTGCATAAACAACATGATGTAAATTTATCTTTCAGCATGTTTGCACAACTACTTGCATATGGTCGGAAAAATTTTAAAAAGTTTTAGAGAATTGCAACCGTTTTCTAGACATAAGTTTCACGTAATTCACATCTGAATGTTATTCAAGGCAGTTAGTTTCTTCCTACTGGAAACAGCAGTTCACCAAATCATTCTCAGCTAGGTACAGTGACAGTTACAGTGGAAGTTTTCAAGTTTTAAAATAGCTCACTATGGCAGAGAACTGGATGTGCAGCAATTAATTTACTCAGCATCCTGATTTTGACTAAATGTCACAATCCACATGAACTACATACTATTTTGAAGTTATATCTACATCAAAATTTTACAGTCGCACTTAAAAGTTCTTACTGATACAAGGTCTGTGAGCTACTGAAGACTTTAATCAATTCACAGTGAGCAGTACCCAATAGGGAATAAAGTCACACTAGAGGACCCTCTTGTCCTAAATTTGCAAAAAGCAGCATCCACAATCAGTTTAAATGGAAGACAAATTTCAAAAAGACTGCCAGTGTATTGCAAGCAGCTATCAATATCAAACCCAGACATTGCAAATGTCTTCTGATGAGATTAGTTTCTTAAAATAATACAGCTTTTTGAGCAGACAGAACTTTAAACAGGCTGGATGTATCTATTTTTCAAGCAGCACAAGAAAAATCAAATACATTACTTGCATGTTCAATTATCAAGCAACAGTTTCTATATTTAAAAACCTGCATTCACGCCTTCACTTTTAGTTAAATCCTATCACACTAGTTTCTCTGCTTAGTAATAATTTCTACGGAAATCAGAAGCTTGTTTAGGCAAAATACTAATTACAAAGATGCTTAAAACAGATGTACAAGGTTAAACAAGTGCAATGTACTAGGACACTGATCTAAAAAATGATAATTACATTGCAATATTTGAGGAAACTGGTGTCAGATATGCACAGGAATTGAGGTTATGACACAAAAATGATTGATGAAAAATGCTGAACATTTTAGCCAAATGAAATATTAGGTCAATGATACTTAGTCTTGTGAGGTTTTGGGGACTTATATGCTCAATAGACAGTTCCTCAAATGCTGGCACATACAAAAAGCAGAGGTTGATGTCTTTGATGCCAGAAAGTTGAGAGGTGTGCTGTTGTATTACCTGTAAGTCAGTTCATGCTGCACATTGACAGCCAGACATACCTCTGCAACATACATCACAACAGAGCTGTAACAATAGCTTCACAGTTGACTCAGAGACATTATCACCAATTCATTTAGGACTCTGTTTCTTGCCGTGCAGAAATGGATGTCAGGGTCTTTGAAATAGAAGTCAACTGCCTAAACCTTTCTGAATAAGTAATAATGCTTGCACTGGAAATTTTAAAACAGAGGGGAGGAAAATAACTTGCATTTGCATTGGATTTAACTAAAGAGGTTACAAGCATTAAATTAAGAAGAGGACTACATGAGCTTAGATGAACCACAGTGGCTGCATGCCTTCCTACAGCCCAAAATTAAGTTTAAGCAAATGTCAAAGAGCAAACATACATGTTAATGAAAACACGTATTATGAAGATCACTTCATCTCCAGCCACTGCATGAGTCTTAATCACTGTATGAGTTTAAATCACAGTCCAACCTGCTAGCAGCATGTCAGTTCTTAAAAAGATTGAAAATGAATACAAGTTTCTTATTCTATCATTTGTAAATTAAGAAAAATACTCTTAATCAGGTTGTATGTTTGGCCCAACCACAGAGACAGCTGGGACAGTGGGAAAAAGACTGCAGAGAAAGATCTGTCTGGTCTTCTTGCCCATAAAAGAAATACTGTGAAGTATCGTAACAGAGTCCCTGTACAAAGCAGCAAGCAGCTGTGTATCAGCTTAGCACTGCAGAGGGCACCTCATTCTGCTTTTCCCCAGATCAATCTACAAAAAAAAAAAAAAGTCAGCTTTCCAATATCCCTGGGCCAGCGAAGGAGCCTGTGGGAGTAAGGGGAATGCAGAGAGCTAACAAATCAGCTATACAAATTAGGGGCATAGAATTCTACAGAAGAAACAGGTGAGAAGATGACAAAGACAAGGATATTGAAAAGGGATCCTTGAAGGTCCTGTTTCTATATCTTGTACATGCAAATACCAACCACTTGCCTGGCTCCTAGAACTAACCATCATGAGCTCCTACACCTAAATTTACCTAGTGTGCCTTAAGGTGCTGAAGTTAGTTTTATAGATGCTTAAATCCTTTATTCAGTCTTCACTAGAACATGAAGCCTGACCACTTAAATCCCAGACAGCAGATAATATGTTAGCCATTTCACAAAAGCAAGTGATTATTTTTGGTTATTTTCTTATCTGTGTGCTGAATCAGAAAGCTCTAGACTCATCATGAATAAATGCAGCCAGAGCTTTCACCAGAGCTTTTTCTGCATATCAAGTACTAATCTTTGAAAAGATATAAATGTCTATTACAGAGTTGTGGAATAAAACAGAAAAGAGCATCAAAAGTTTTAGGAGATACACAAATGCACGCAGAGACCAGAACAACAGCTGCAGTTGTATAGATACATTTTACTTGTATGTCAGCAGCAGTAGATTAGTAGAGCTTTACAGGCCTTTTTTGCCTTTCTCAAATGAAACTACTCAAACTAGCTGTATACTCTCAGGTTTTCCATGACCATTCTATCTAGTTTGTCCTAGAAAAAAATTAATGAAGGCTTTTAAACCAGATCCTGTGTTTTCAAATTGCTGTTTGAGGCAATAAAACTGAAAACTAAGTTGTTGGACAGTAACTACGTGACACAACTGTGGCTTTTCTATTAGCTTTTCAAATGCATCTAAAGAAATTAGAACTTAATTTCTTAAAACAAATTACATTCAAGCCTTCTTGTTTACCTCTTGTACAGCTGCTGTATTTTATTTGAGGAGTAGAAGAAATAACCATGACTTGAAATCTTGGCCCCAGAAAAGAACAAGGCAAAATGCTGACAGATACTGATGAGGCAATAAACTAAGAGCCTTTTACTACAGAAAGTTGGAATGTTTGCTAATGTAATGCAGAAAATGTTAACAGCTATCACGTGGGGATGTTAGAAGGCATATAGAGGCACACAGGTTGCAAGAAACAGGAAATAATCTCTCTCAGAATCAGGAAACGTAGGAAGTAGAATACACTTGCAAACAGAAGACACTGTGTACATGTTACATACAAAATACAGCATTATGCCTCATCTTTTCATATAAACTATTATATTTCTTCACACAAGCATACAAACTGAGCCGTTTTAGTTACTCTCTCAATTCTAGTGTTACTTTCCTTATGAAAAAAGTAGTTATCCAAACAGAACATTCCCTGAGTCAACACAGAAAATCAATATAGCTGATTTTCCTTTGGAAGCGTCTTCATAACTTTACTGGCAAAAAAACAGACCCAAAACCCTGCATGCAGAGTTTGCTACTGTGCTACTTTTAGGTGGTTTTAGTACTTTGTATTTATATGTATGTAACTACATTGGTGGTGTAATTACATCCTAATAGAGCAAGACCTCACAAAACTGTCTATGATCCAACCCCAGTTTGGGACAATTGTTTTGTCCAATACTTTTCCTGAAGAGACATCTCCAACTGGAATCCCATTCACTTCCCAGGGTAAAAACACAGCCAAAACATATGCAGAGTTATGAAGGCCTACTGCATAACATGAAGAAAACACTAATTTTGCAACTGTCACACAGATTTGGGGACACAAAGAGAGCTAAAGACAGATTAATGTGAGCAACTGTACATGGCTATAGAGGAGAAAGGGAGAAAAACCCTTAAGTCATCCACAGTCTTACTCTGCACCCTGCTGATTTTAGTTTGCAGGTGAAAGTGAGAAAGTTCCACCTGGCTTGAACCCTTTAAGGGTTTCCACCATATACTTTTTGCAGAGATGTTTACAAATCCAACCTGAAAGAGGAATCAGTATTTATACTCTGCTTATTTCTAACAAGAATTCACAAACATTTGGCTATTTGGATTGAAAAATATAACTAGTTTACATAAATATTTTCAACATCCAAGAAAATGTACAAATCTAAAGTCAAACATATTTGACTTACAACAAGCCCTGTTTGCTAATGTCTTTATAAAGGCTCAGTTTTAAGGAAAAGTAGTCATTTTAAATACAACAATTATACTGCAAATGCCAACCCATTGTATGGAGACACTCACCATTCTTCTATACTTCTAGTGAAACTTAATGGTAACATCCCACATCTGCTTGCAAACAACATATACCTTGCTTTGGTCCTTGGTAATTAGTCTACACTCCTATGTTTTGGAGTGTTCTTTTTACAGCTCAGAGAAAGCATTGCAACTGAAATATTCAGCAGCATTGTGCAAAACCATTGTTTAGTCCCCGAGGCTTTGGGTTGACTGCGTAAAAGTGGAAAACCACGATGACATAGCTGATTTCGCACTTGTGAAGGCTCCTCCAACTGATTGACCTGCATTACAAAAGAAAAGAAAGAAGGACAATAGTGTAGTGTTATCATTACTAAGCTACTACAAAGAAATATTAAAAAAAATTATTGCACAATCAGTTCTCCAATTTAGGATTTAAAATCCAAGTCCAGAGTCTGTGTCAGAAAATATTCAAAGAACTTGAACATAGTAGCTCAGCAGAAATGGCCTATGTTGTCTTTTGCCCTAGAAGGCTTGCTAGACTTAGGGCCGAAAGGCGCTCCTTGCCAACATGTACAACAGCCAAAAGAGTAGAAAGACTCTAATGGAATAAAAGAGGAAGCTAAACAATTTTTGGCCAAGCTACTGCAGAACAACTATCAGATTCTTCAATGGGTGAACTCACATTATCTCACACTGCAAGATGACAGCATGACGTTGCCCCTGTTCAAGTGCAACAAGTGCTTTTCCAGAAAATTACAGACTATTGCAAAACCTGCAGAAACTGACACAAAGTCTTCCTCTGATTTCAGCCAGCTCTGAATAGTTTCAGTCAAAGTGATATAAAAATGAGAACAGCTCAATGCAGAAGGTGGTGTTGTGGTCTCAGCATCTCCAGATTACATGAAAGCTTTTACCTGAACATCTCTCTTCCCACATTCATCTCCAGCCCACACTGGAAAAGGGAATTTACACTAATTTCTTTGTCTAGCTGCTTCTCTTTCCACTATTACATAATATACAGGACTCAATTAGCAGCTTCACCCCTCAAAACGTTACTCTGTTTTGTATGTATGTTATATACTTCGATTAAAAAAAAAATGTAACTGAGATTGTCATGGTTTACCCCCAGCCAGCAACTAAGCACCACGCAGCCGCTCACTCACTCCCCCCCAACCCAGTGGGATGGGGGAGAAAATCGGGAAAAGAAGTAAAACTTGTGGGTTGAGATAAGAACGGTTTAATAGAACAGAAAAGAAGAAACTAATAATGATAATGATAACACTAATAAAATGACAACAGTAGTAATAAAAGGATTGGAATGTACAAATGATGCGCAGCGCAATTGCTCACCACCCACTGACCGACACCCAGCTAGTCCCCGAGCGGCGATTCCCCGTCCCTACTTCCCCGTTCCTATACTAAATGGGACCTCACATGGTATGGAATACCCTGTTGGCCAGTTTGGGTCAGGTGCCCTGGCTGTGTCCTGTGCCAACTTCTTGTGCCCCTCCAGCTTTCTCGCTGGCTGGGCATGAGAAGCTGAAAAATCCTTGACTTTAGTCTAAACACTACTTAGCAACAACTGAAAACATCAGTGTTATCAACATTCTTCGCATACTGAACTCAAAACATAGCACTGTACCAGCTACTAGGAAGACAGTTAACTCTATCCCAGCTGAAACCAGGACAGAGATATAGGATGCTTCTCCAAAAAAGATATGGCTCAGATGCAAGCTGGTTTTCAATAAATTTCTTACCTACAGCTTTTCCTGTTTGTACAACATTTCTGCTAGTAGAAACCATCACATTTCCAATCTTCTTTCCACGTTCACTGTTTTGCACAGAGCTAAACAAGAGAGATACTGAAGACTGTTAGTTGACCGACTTCTTATTACTACCAGGTGTAAATAAAATACATAGTTAAAATATATATCAAAACATACACAAATTTACATAGCATACATATATATAGGTTTTTATATACATATGTATACATATATATATGTATACATATATATACGTATATAAAAATATAACATCAAGCCCATAATTCCTGCATGCATCTTACCCACATAGATCACTTAAGCTTCTCAGAGGAAGAAAAGATACTGTCAGCAAGACAGGAATCAAAACATCCAATGGTTCACTTTTATACAATACACTTTATACATTTCCTAAATGTTTACCAAAATGCATTTATGTTCTAAATTACAAACTCAGATTTGCAGTAGTTTTGAGAATTTTTAGCCCTAATATATAAGCTTTAAACAAAACAGTAATTGTTACTGGTCAGACATTATTCTTTTATCTAAATAGTTTACTTTGTATCTTGCTTTAAAATTAAATTTTTCATCAAGTACAGTTTACACTCATGCTTTTGTTAAATGCAAAAAGACGACAGACACTACCACCACCTGGAAAGAAAAGCACAAAAGCAAACAGTTTTACTGCACAAGTGTGATCACTTGAAAATAATCTCATTTAGTTTTAAATGGTAACATTCAAATCCACATTTCAGGCTTTGCAAATCCATTTATGTAAAACTTAACAACAAGGCATGCCACATTCTTTTCCCACTTTCAAAATCTTCATTGTGGATGCAAAAAGCAGAAAGAATGAAGTACACCAAGAACAAGTTTAGGCTCAGTTTGCAAAAGCAAGTAATTTTTATGAGTATCTGATAGCAAAGTCACATCTGGAAAATAAAGGCATTGTAAAAATATTTGTTATTAGAGACACGCTAAGAACTACTGGTCCTTTTACATTGATTTCAGGCTACTCAGAAGAGTTAGCATCTCCTCTGTCAAACACAAAAATAGGGCAAGTAAAAGATAGACACCTCCACATCTTTCAAATTAAGTCTTTCTATAAAGACTGTCCATTAATAATAAGAGCTGCTATCAGCATGCACCTTATTGAAGGCAATTACCTTGAAATTCATTTGCATTCTCAGTCACCATCATGGAAATTTAATCTGTCATTGGTCAGCAAAAACAACAAAAAGATTCAGCAGGCTGAAGTCTGAACCTTTTTATTCCCTAAGTTGTTCTTCTATGTTAGCATATGTTTTAGGTCTACTCACAGCATACTGAACATAACAGACTACAGTCAAGGCAGGTGCAGAATCAGCAGCACATATGTACTGCTGATTTACAGGCATCTTAAAGAACCAGTCCCTGATGTTTCATGGTCAACATAGCTAAGTGAGAAAATCTATTTTGCCTGGTGCATAAACAAGAAGAGATAGTTAACTGCAACTCCAATTCTGGCTTCAGAGCTGAACAGCTATGGGAATAACAAGCACCACCGAGTTTTAGACTTGAATACTACAGGTAAGAGCCGAGACCAACTTAAGGTTCAGTTGAGTGTGGTGTAATGAGAGATTATGTTAAACTCATTTTAAACTTCTAAATTGAAGAAGCTGAACCACGTCTCAGAACATACACAGCAAACTTCTAGAACAATGCTGTATCAAAAACCAGCTAATTAAATAAAAGAGCTGTTTTCTCCTAATAACGAGACCTCAAGTCAACATACAGAAAAACACTGATGAAAGTTTTAACAGCTTTAGTTTACAATTTAAAAATAAATATACAAAAGCCTTGTAATTGCAATGCAAAAAATCAGGGCTCTATTATGTAAAGTCCAACACAAAATAGTGCATTAGCACTGTTTTTCCCTATTTCAGGCAAATGTTCCATCTCTAGATGTGGTGATGTTTTGCAAGAGAAAGTTGAGTATAGTTTCATGTACATGGCCAATTTAAAACATTGTTTTGTTTAGTTCATCATAGCAACAGTTAAACAGTTATTAATATTTGACCACACTTTTTTAAAAAAATACAAATCAAAGTACCATATACTTACTGTGACAATCTTAACTTAACATCTGATACAGAGTACTGTCCCTGGAATGGGTGGCTAGAAGAGGAGGAAAAACCCGAAAAAACATTAAGTATTTATTTTTTCCACAGTGAATCTATACCACACGATTATTAGTTATACTCCTCTCTATGGCTTAAAAAAAAAATAAATTTGTAGGATTACTACTATATCACTTTACAGAAGGCTAGGTCCCAGTGACTATTCAACCTTAGATTTCTTATGAACTACCTGTAAGTTGCCTTCTATTTACAGACCAGATATTTACAATCTTCTCACACTAAGGCAGAGTCATCTCCTTCTAGCAACACAGAGCAAATAAAAAAAAGAAAAAAGATCCCTTAATTAGACCAAAAGAGCTTTGTAGATCGGAAGAAAAACCTTCTTCAGGCTACAGCAGCTGACAAAACAAAACTTCCTGCAGTACAGTAATAAGCCATTAACCCATAATCCCATCACCAGGGCGGGGAGTGAGCGAGCGGCTGTGTGGAGCTTAGTTACCAGCTGGGGTTAAACCACAACAGTCCTTTTTGGTGCCCAACATGGAGCATGAAGGGTTCAAGGTAATGACAGATTTGATTGCAGTGTGCTAGATTGAATTTATAGCTGTTATTGTGGTTTAGCTATTAATTGACAGGCTCCTATGCTTGCCATGGGGCTTGCTTGCCTTACTGTATACTAGGGTCTAGTGCTCATTAGTGGCTGCTTTTTGCTTTTGCTGCTTGCTGTAGTGCTTATCTTACTCTGCTGTGCCTGGGAACATTTTGATAACAGCAATGGCGATGCACCTGGGCTGGCAGATGGCCAGGGCATCGCTGCTGTACTGGACAGGCTGGAACTCCAGTCAGCTCGAGTCAAAGGGACTGTGACCTGTGGATGAGTCCATGTGGGAGCAGGTACACCTCAAAGTGTCTGTGGCCATGGTTATGTCTGTGCTGCAGCAGGTATAACTCTGAAGCGATTGTGGCCCAAGGATAAGTCCATGCTGGAGAAGGTACACCTCAAAGCACAAGTGGCTGTGCGTGAAGTAATGCTAGAGCACCTCAAAGCATGTGGCCATGGATAAGCCCACAACAGAGCAACTACACCCCTAGAGGGACTGCAGAGATAGGTAAGGCCATGTTGAGTAGGTTCACTCCTGAAGGGACTGTGGCTGTGGGTAGGGCCACCCTGGAGTAGGTATATACCTGAAGGGACTGTGGCCCATGGATAAGGCCACGCTGGAACAGGTGCACCTCAAAGCGACTGTGGCTGTGGATAAGTCTATGCTGCAGCAGGTATATCCCTGATGAGACTGTGGCTCATAAATAAGGTTCCACTTGGAGCCGATACACCTGTAACAGACTGCAGTCTGTGGATAAATCCAAGCCAGAGCAGGGGCAAGGGGAGTTCATTGCAATGTTAAACCCTATGGTCTGGTCCAAAGAGACCAGGGGTGGAGATTGTAATGGAAATACTTTTACATTGTTGTAACCCATGATTTGAGTTGCATGTTATAGGAATTACTATAGCAGGAACCACCTGAACCAACGGAGGACAAGCCTTACAAGAAGCAGCGCAAGTGCAGCAGTGACCTGACCTGAGCTGGCTTTGGTGCCCAATAATTCCACCTGTCCTGTCCTGAGGGCCCACCATAAGAGATGGAGCCCAAAGTCAAGGACTAAATTAACTCAGTGGACATTTTGTGGACATTTCTGGACATTCTATGGACATTTTACAAAGTTGGTAGACTAAGGGAATGATATCTGTGTATTACATTGAAGGATGGGAAGAGGGGTGGTGGTTAGTGAGGATGTATTGGATAGTGTGGGACCTGAGCGTGATGTAAATGGTATGGAATAAGGGGTGGATATTGTCCTGGTTTCAGCTGGGATAGAGTTAATTTTCTTCCTAGTAGCTGGTATAGTGCTATGTTTTGGATTTAGGATGACAATAATGTTGATAACACATGGATGTTCTAGTGTAAGTACTGCTCAACAACAACTAAGTAAACAACTTTCCAGCTTCTCATGCTGCCCTGCCAGCAAAGAGGCTGGGCTGCGTAAGAAACTGGGAGGGGACACAGCCAGGACAGCTAACACAAACTGGCCAAAGGGATATTCCATACCATATCATGTTGTGCTCAGCATATAAACTAAGGGGAAAGCTGGCTGGAGAGCTGGTGATCGGGAACAGGCTGGGCATCAGTCAGTTGGTGGTAAGCAATTGTTTTTCATTTGCATCACTTCTTTTTCTTGGGTTTTATTTCTCTCTCTTTTTGTTATTTTCCTTTTCATTATGAGTTATTATTATTTTATTTTATTTCAATTATTAAACTATTCTTATCTCAACCCACGAGTTTTCTCACTGTTACTCTTCCAATTCTCTCCCCCATCCCACCAGGGGGAGTGTAGGGGGAGTGAGCGAGCGGCTGTATGGTGCTTATTTGCCAGCTGGAGTTAAACCACAACACCCATGCTAAGCAAAACACATGCACAGCCAACAGTGTTACCAAGTCTAGCATCATCTAATCTTTGAGTGAAAATACACATAAAACAATCCAAAGCATAGAAGATGCAACATAAAACAGCCAACTCCCCTCCATCCCCATCAATGACAACCTTGGACACAACTACTCCCTGCACACCTGGAAGCAATTAATAAAAAGCAGAACCATCTGAGGACAATTCCCAAGGAATGACAAACTTTCTACAGCTGGGGACAGCCAACAATCAACTTGAACAAGTTTCACTTCTCCTGACTCTGGATATATTTTTGTTCATAAAACTATAGCCCAGAATTAGAGTAAGGTATTGAAGAACAGAAATTCTTTCTTTCTGTACTTACAGAATAGGGCCCCAAAGTTTCACCCTCAGGGCTTTACAACAGGAACAAGGGCAATGCTGTAATTCTACAGAACACTGTGCCTGACTATGCATACTAGGAGCTCTCCATGTTAAATGCTAAAAAAAAAAAAAAAAAAAAAATTTCCTTACCTAGAATTTACCTCTGCAAGAGCTGAATGCTTGTTGCTATTCCATACTCTGTAGTTGTGGGTATTTTTCCAGGCTGCTACAAATGCTGTTCCAAAGTCTGACAAAGTCTTTTCGTTGTCTGATAAATTAAAAAAGATGAGAATTCGCAGCAATTCATTAGAGATGCAATACAAGACAAATTACTTTTTTTTCTTGTAAAAAAAATTAAAATTTTCCAGGCTCTTACCAAATCAAAGACGCTTAAAGCTCTAGTACTAAGAACTGGGCACTTAAAAAATGTTTTTTTATTTTAATTTTAAAGTGTCCCAAATATACAATGCCAGGACAAGAGGGAGGAAAAAAAAAAGCTTAAAAACCTCCACTTTTCTTATTTTTAATTAATTTATAAAGTTCTAAGTAAAGAGCTCAACTGGGGGGGGTGGGGGGGTGGAC